CCTGCCACTATTGCGGCAAGGAAGGACACTGGCAGTCCGAGTGCCGCAAGAAGACCCGCGTAAACGGCCGGCCGAACCCCAAAGGACACCTGCCTGACGGGAAGGACGACCACTCCAACGCGGCCGTCTTCATGTTCTCGGCAACCGAGAGCGGCATCGACATGATCGCCATAAGTCAAGAAGTGCCCGAAAATGAGACGAAGAACAACGAAGAGCCTGACGAAAAACCTACCCAAGACACGGCCGTTGTCAACGGGCCCATTTACATGGGAGAACCCGGCGAGGCTCTCCCGCTCCGCACCGACCCCGACTGGCACCCTACAGTTCAGCCAGTGAGACTGGTGTTTGTCTATGGCAGCCCATCACCAACATGGGTTACCTTCATTAGCCAGACCGACCTTGAGACAATGTACCACACCACACCGATCATGGACATCACCATGGTTGCAGAAATCCCGCCATGGTTGTCGCACCGATACTTGATCACCAAGTATGACGTTCGAGACATCGATTGCCGACCGCGGGATGCCGAAGAATACAGTCTATGGCTAGGGCCGGACGCATATGAGTCATATATCGTGGACCACGAGTTCTACTTACCGGAATACACGTACGTGGACAACGCGAACGACATCCGCATCAACCAACGACGCCATACGTTCGTCCACCCAACCGGAGGCCCATACGAAGCGACCATGGACAGTGACGACGAGCCCGAGGCCAACTTCGAAGTCGCTTCATCCTACGAAGACAGAAACGACAGCGACGCCAACGACATGGTATATTCGGTCGAAGCCAGCCACGCACGTACCATCGAACACCGCATTGTCGTCGACTCTGGCGCGTCCGCACACATGACCGGCGCCAGTGAGCACTTGTTCGACACGAAACCATGCAACCGCCAAGTCGTCGTGGCCAACGACAACGTCACCGTCGCTACTACCATGGGGAAGCTCAACATCAGCACACCCTCACACACAACACTCACCCTTACCGACGTGCTCTTGATCAAGGGCATGTCCACAACGCTCCTGTCCATCCCGGCGTGCGGGCCAACTCCAAAGTCCGTGTGGAATTCCAACAAGACGCGTGTACAATTCTGCTCGGTTCCCAGTCCGTGGCGCGCGCTACAATGAACAACGATCAGCGCTTATACATCCTGGACGGGGTATTTAACCACGAGGCAGAATACTCTGCCGTCACCGCCGACACCACTGCGCTGTGGCACCACCGCATCGGACATCTGCCCGTCGAAGCACTGCGAGTATGCGCCAAGGCTGGCCTAGGGCTGCCCACTCGCATCAGCGACTTGACCAAGCAAAAATTCGATTATCTCGGCTTGTACAGTATACATCGTCTGTGATATTTAAAACTATGTACTTGATCTGCTTTTCAATTGGCTCAATCTGAGCCTCACTGCGCAGCATTTGGAGAAAAAGATGAAAAACGGTTGTAAAATCGCGTGTCCCTTCCACTTTGGCCAACACAGTAGGCCCCTAAACCAGATACTGATAAAACAATTGAATACTTGTATGTTTCCATTATAAGTGTAGAGTATAACTGGCCCACTGACGAAGTCATCAGATACACCGAATAAAATTCACTTCCGGATAACTTGTCAGCCATCGCCAACCTTCCTAATTACAGCTTGAATTCTTCAGACAGTGCCTTGTTGACGAATTCATTGGATGATGTGAAAGCCACGTCAATCATATGAATTTTAGACGTCACCAAGAACCTCGCACTTTGATTGGATCCCGCCAAGTCAATTTAAGCGCGAAAATTTGAACCACTGCAAACCAAACAATACACTCACTGTTCATTCTCACTTAAGA